TCTGGGAGTTGAAGTCCACTCATCTTAAAGTGGCCAAGTTTGGACAACACTGGCATACAGTAATACATTTGTTAGCCTTTAACATGCCAAAGTATATTTATTTATTTGTTTGGTACGAGTCACTTCTTTGATTTTCTGGAGCTGATTCTTCCTCGCCACAAGTTACCAGGAAAGTGGCTATTCACAAATTTGGCACAAGAATGAAAGTGACAATGGGAACTCTATGATTCACTGCATCTTGTGGTCATCCTCCAAGGCTGCATCTTCTGGAAAGCTGCCCTCCACATTTATGGAGGATCGGTTGCTGTCCTCCATAAATTGAACTTGATTCTCTGCCTATGTAATCTACCTACCGATTAGGGCCAAGTCAAATTTGCATAGAGATGCTTTTCACCATCAAATGGTGGTAAGTGTGAACTGTTCTCTGGAAAGTATACCACTTTTGTTGTGATAGAAGGCAAAGCAGACACAAAGTGAATTCCTCTAGCTTCTATATATTGCTGTTATTCATTTTTCTTTATGCTACAATGTGGAGGACAACCAGATGAATCACTCTGATTCTCCATATCATTAGCAAGGGTGGTAATGGCAACCATTTATGCATGGCAGTTTAAACTACAGCACTTTACATATAAGCTCACTACAGAGGCCTGCATACTTGCTGCATTCTGGTCAGAGATATGACCTTCTCTCCGACTAGAAATAGCTTCTTTGAGTTTGCAGTCCAAACAGCTACTGATCCTTGTGTCAATCACTAGGCCATCACTTTCTCAGATGACCTTTTTTCCCCAAAACCATAAGAACCTTTTAAAATAAATGTACTGAATAAAGGTTGTCCATCTGAAGCATGGGAAGAAATAGAAGAAGAAATCTTGCCCTTTGAGAAATGAGAAAGGAAGCCTCACTGTACAGCAAGGAGCCCCATCTATTAGAGGTAAAGGCCTGTGGTCCTCCATATGTTGCTGAATTGTTACTCCCAATATAATTAGATGGCTGGGGTTCTGAGATGCTGTTCAGCATCATTGAAAGGCCCATAAATTCCTCATTCCTGTCTTCCTCATACCTATGTATGGAATTTGGTCATAGAGAAATGAGGGCTGCACTCTATACTGTACTGCTTGCCTTTCTTAAAAGAAACTACACAGCCATTTTCATCCCAAATGAAATCTGTTAAAAATCCAGAGGACCCCCAAGATAGCAGCAAAGAGGTCTTCCGAAATTTTGAAGGCCAGAACTAGCAGCTTCATTCTCTCCCTTCCAGGACAACTAGGTCCCTCTAAAACTAGCAGAAGCTGATCCTTCTGAGTGAGTGCTAGCTGAGCTGACTCACCTTCACCCATGTTTCCTTCTTCCTCAAGGGCAAAAGGAGAACACAGTATATCACTGAGAGTTACCACACATATTCCCCAGTTAGGAAATTCCTACTGTAGCATCTATGTGTTGGTCCAGGACATGTCATTCCTAACCGGGGAAGGTACAAATGGATCCTGCTAATTCACCTAATCTGCATCTTCCCAGATGGGGCAAAGAATATATAGGGGAACCACTCCATAAATTGCTTCCCACTTCGTCCACCACAGAGTGCTTTTACCTCTACAGGAGGACATGGTTAAATGGAAAGGAGGCTTGTTCCAGACATTACTTCATTAAGTCCCATCTTCTGATACCTCCTGGCTGTTGTGGGTACATGAATTTCTTCCACAGACCAGATCCAGTTCCAGATCTCTGGGATATCTATGTATAAAGAGGTATTCATTCCCATAAAGCCAACATTTTCCAACCAATCTGCTAAATGTCCTCCAAACAAGTTTGCCTTATTTTTCTTCTACTAATCTAGCTGTGAACTCTTAAAATCTGAATTCTCATTTCATTTCCTGATTACAGAATGGAAAAGCCAGTTTTTGTTCCTGATGCACTTAAACAATATATCTTTAGCTATTTGGGAAACAAGCAGCTGTAGCTAGATTTATTGACTCTTTACATTCTGAAACTAACAGGAAGCACCTCCTGCACGTGTGAACCAAGCGTTTGCAGAATCAATCCTGCAGCTGTAGGTAGGAAGCCTTTGTTCTGACGAATGCCAGTTCCTCTGCCTCTGCTTGAAGGAAACCACACATATTTCCTCTAGCGCTGTCTGTTTCCGTTCTTTAATCCTTTTTCTCTCATACAACAAATGTGTAAAAGCAGCCATGTATTCTGCTAGATTGCCTTTTCAAAATGGTGGGTCAAAAAACAAGGCCCACACATTCTCATGTGCTGTTTTTCTCTTTGGCAAATGGTTGGGAAGTCACTGAGATCTGAAACTCCTTTAAGGCAGGAAAAAGCATATTCTCAGAATAGATTATTATTAAATAAAATTATTTTTGCCCTCCTGGGGTATTTAATCTCCTTTAGCTCAGCTGGAAGATGGCTCCCCTCTGAGTGTTGCTGGCAGTGCATTCATTTAGGCCAGAGGATAGGTAATTTTCCACAAACAAAGAACTACATGGGGGTTGATATCAAGGGCCTCATCACTAGCAAGGGCTGGATGACAGCAAAGTGTTAGAGTAAACTATATCTCTTTGCTACCATTTTGTGGTCAACTGGAGTTTTGCAGCCCAGATCTGGTAGTCCAAAATATAATCAGAGAGGAGTTGAGCATGGGTGGCTCATCTTTGATTTAATCCAAGATTGAGTAACCTTATCTTGCTCTTCAGAAAACTTTTCCAGCCTGGTGCCTCCATATGAGTTGGATGTCCCTACCAAGTCTGGGAAGGTTCTTCTTTATGGGGCTTTTTTCTACTTCCCCCAAAGTTTGTGCTTGAGTCTAGACTGTATACAGTGTCCAGTTTACATTTTGTAATAGATCTAAGAACCAGTTTTTAAAAAAAAATAGAGGGAGGGTAAGATTAGCTAAAACTGATGTGAATTGTGGGGTTTTGAAGACAGCTTGTCAGTTTCAACTACTCAATTTTCTTTTTGTATCTCTCTCCCTCTGTGCTTACATCCTGAATCTTTGAATGGACTCTTCTGCCAATCTTGTTTTGTTTGCCCTGTCCTCATTTCTAATTCTAGGTTCTGAAACAATTCCATGGATGCTCCCCATGGCTCATCTTTTCCCTCACTGTTGCCTTTGGAATGGACTCTCATCTTGTGACTTGCAATCATCTCAAATCACACTTCATTCATTTCCCAGATCTTAGTTCTGTTCCTGTACCCACGGAAAAGCAGCCAAAAGCAACGAACATATGTGCTTCAAGCAGAGCTGCAGATAATAATGACATAATTTGCTTATACTGTATATGGGGCTTGTAAATATTGTATTTACCTGGAAAGAAGGTGAGTCTGAGTTTTCAAAAAAGGAGGATAGACAGGCAAAACCTGTGTGGTATCT